TTAGCAAACGCGGCCCGAGCCTTGCAGATTCGTGCATTCACCTCATCTGTCACACTACAATCAGAACTAATACAACTTCCAAGATACGTAAAACGCTCCACAACTTCCAGTACCTCTCCCTGGATCGTAAGTGGCATGTTCAGTGACTTCACGTCCACAAGCATAACCTTACACTTTGTAGGTGCTTTGGTCAGTTCAAAATTAGTATACCCTGGAGGCAGGTTTTTCGGGACCAAGCTGATGGGAGCCAACGATTCATTTATCTAAATGTGCTTGGGGGAAAATTCCCTGCACCGAGCGAACGAAGAGTAAGAAATGGAAGTATGAATTCGAACGGATATTTCTGGAACTCATCTAGCAAGAGATAACAGCCTAGTGGGCACATTTATTAAGTCAATGACGACCAAAGTCACCACTGGGCATTCCCAGCGTGCGGTCACTCTTCCCTAATCCATACTTCCCCGAAGTACAGCAGAATCATCGTTTCCAGGAATGTGGAAATCCTGATCGTCTAGACAGACTTTACCTCGTGGACACCAGGCAACATGACTATTAGCAGCAAGTATGTCAAACTGCTCCCACGTCCTTTTTGCATCGCCGCATATAGAGAAACCTTCAGCAGATGTACACCGCGGGGCGATTGTTACCTGGTGCCTGACCACCACGTCAAAGTGATTTCTATAATAGTTGGGACAAGCTCATCGTCGCTAGTATGCATCGCAGGAGAACCAATCTACAGTGATAACAGATGGGTGTACGCTGTACAGGGCATGTTGTGGCCTGGCACCAGCCCATAAATTAAGACGCACTTTAATACAGCATCAACAATAACCCTTAGGTTGCTTGCAATCCAGGAAAACTGGAGACCAGCTGTCTAACCGCAACACACTACTCACAGGGTTGCTGAAAGCTCTTCGACAGCACATGACTGGTCTCACCCTTTTTAAGGCTCACCACCATAAACGAGAGATTCACCTGGATTCGGTTGCGTCTCCTGTCAAGATCGTCTTTAGAAACCTGAATGATGTGACGGAAACGCCTCACGCAAAGGGAAGGTTACACATTCGTTTGTTCACGCTTCAGCTGAGTTTGGACGAAGGGTTAATAAGAAAGCCCCCCCAAACCGTGCTGGCTCGTTTCAAGTGCTTGCAGGCGATTTTATCCGAGATTACCTTCATTAATTCTAGTTTTGCGTCAAATATATCATTTGGGGCCGAATCAAGTCACTTGCAGTCCACTTACCGCTAAAGCATTCCGTTTTGCTCCTTATTAAGTGATACGTCTTCGGCCAACGGCAAAGTGAAATTTTGAAGTAGGAGTGTGCAGGCGCAGTCGAGCTGTATAAGATGGCTTGAGTAAAACAACTATGAACTATCTGAATGGGCCATACGTTCCAGACGGAGGAACAGCCTCTCCAACCGACAGGGAGAGAAATAACGACCGTTGTGACTCTGTGAGTGATGGCAGAACAGATCACGATCATCGCCATCACTTTCAGTTCACAGCGACCACTCCCTGCGATAAAGCCGAATGAAACCCGACTAACAGCGCCACGGAGGACCCAATCAGTAATGACTAACTGCGGCAGCGCTTACCAAATGCTTGTGAAGAAAACGCATTGTAGCGCCCTGTTGGGACTTACCATAGCATCCGACCATGGTTCAAACAAGGAGAGACCCGTAAGGGTCGACCGGTTAGTGAAAGCTGAAAATAAATCAAACGAGATTAGATGGGGGGGGGGGGCACAAACTGTTGAACTAATAAGAAATTACGCCAACTCGTGAAACTATTACATCCTTCCAGGGGTGCTCGCAACCTGAATAAAATTCATATAATACCAAGTCACTCAAACCAACGAAAAGGTTCGACAGACATCCGAAGCATGGGCTCTCCAGACTCCGGCCTATGCTCAAAGGCACACACAGAACGTCGACTGAGAAAGCCCAACTTTCCACAACTCTAGAGATGGTGAAAAGAAGTTCGGAGTTCCAAACTGAATCAGGTTCACGAGGAACACTGTCAATAACCCCAAATTAAGGTTGGCCTATTCCTGGTAAAAGGGAGAATAAGGGAATGAGGACCACGCGAGGCAGTCTGTGCAGTGACGGCAAAGGGAGCGAGAGCTACGTAGTGGTGCTCACTCTGATGCAAGATAACCATTGGTTACGTGACATCTGTCAAAGCCACTAACCACTGGTTTGTTTCGTCACGCGGTCCCCATCTGGCGGGATAGCTCAGTGGTTACAGCGCGAACTTACTGACCAGAAGGTCTGTGATTCGAACCCGACCTGTGTATCTCGACTGTTCCTGTGTAGAATTGGGCAACCTGGCACTATCTCAGCCCTCATGCTTCCTTCGGATGGCATGGCAGCTAGGGACCGAAAGGGTGTTACAGTTGAACGATAATCTCTATTACTATTAAATTGGTAAATTTAAGCTTCTCGCTGTAAAGATAATTTCATGAAAAGTCAACTATCGAGTGCAAGGGCGTGTTCATAAAAAGAAATCATCAACAATAGAGAACAACTGAAAAAGCACCAAAACGCCATCCAGGTCCTCATAGAGATCTAAGGCATCCCTTGGGTGATCAGTACAGAAGCACCTCCTACTGCGGTCCACATGGTATACAACAACATTGGAGTTCATGGAGCTGCTGAGAGGTCTTAATAGGATGATTTCTGTGGGATTTGGGTGTGTCGTTTTGGGAGAAAATATGCCAGTAGTTTTCATGTACTGGTACCTGGCTCCCACCATTTAACCGTTTGGCTGCAAAATTTAGTCGCTTACCCGTGATATATTTTTCTACATTTTCTACAACCACTTCTATGGTATTCTCAATTATGCCTACCAGACTCTACATGTGAGTCCGACTCCAGTTTATCTACTTTGGATGTGCCTGTGGTGGTTAGGTACGTTACCTTCTTCATTGTAGTGCAAATTTTCGTTTCTCTAAGTTTACACTGATAACTTGCAAACTCATTCTGGTCAAAACTCTGCTCTATAGCACAAGGTGAACCTACAGTCTGCACAAATTAAAGGAAAAGAGATAGTTTTTAACGAAGAGTCCTTAGCTAAAGGTCGCAATGAAATTCAGGAACCTGCAGTAAAATAAGTTGGAAAGCAAATAGTCTATCTAGCTCCGTAGTTCACAGGTGATCACAACACAAAATGTGGCTATCAGACAAGTTCAGAATATTGCGCAACTGAATTAGACATCCGTATTTGCTATTTTCCAACTGAGCAAGGGTAGTTCTTCCAATTCACTTACCGCCCCTGTAGTTTGTCAATTTTCGTACAGCTGAGGACAGCGGCATGACAGACCGGCGTGTCAGGGCGAGCGGTTGATAAACCTTTGTAACACAGCTTGCTCAAAAAGGTCTAATGTCAAGTTGTGATCCAGCCTGTTTGATTGTAAGGCACCTCATTCAGACATCAGCAAACCGTCAAAAGATTCGTTTTATGTGCTGTTACGTAAGTGAATCCCCAAGCCACTGTCCATCAGCAGTTGGTCATCCGGGTCCCCTGGAGACACTGTGCAAGCGAAATGCACCGAAGCAATCAATCTGAATCCCGTGGTCCTAATAAGGTGGCAACCGCTCAACTATGTGCCAAGGAGCACTTGTATATCTTCCAGGGGTTTTGCGTTTCGACACTGGAGTGTGAAATAAATGCTAACATGCCGTAATGAGTGAACTTTAACAGTACCAATTCAGAGACTGGCAACGGGAGCTCGTCCACAGGTGGGAACGATTCCAAGATAGTCAGAAGTCTCGGCTGTCACAAACGGCAAAGTGGAATTCTCGATAATCATAGGGACGAAAGTGCAACATTCTTAACCAGATTGTGAACCTCTAGCACCCATTTTTTGGCGAGCAAAAGTAGCTTACCGAGTGAATCCTACCCCCAGTTCTATACAAATACCCGAACTTATCAGCATACGTTTTAAGAGCTTCATAATATAAACGCGGTCATCCAATGTCATCATCATCATCGACAGCATGGCATCAGTGTTCAATACCGATGCTTCACTGCCGTACAACCATGACTTATTTAAAAGCCTTATTGTAAAGAAAAGAATAAAGGTGGATGGGGGAGGGACTTAGGGCTAGCTTAACACAATCATTCCGAGGTGTCTACACCTCCAAACATTCACTCAGGCAATCTGGATAGAAACTGACAACAAGAACGCCACTGACATCGGTTGGCAGCCATATCTTGTAGTGTCTCCAACC